GTTAAATTGACGACCCCATATAGTGAGGGTAGAGAAAATAACAGATAACCTATAAAATATGAATTTTGACAGTTTTCAGATGGATAAAAGTATTTTTAATCTCACAATCAAAAGTACTTTACATGTTGGGTAGTTAACATTCTGAGAGCAAAAATTCATAAGCAAATCTTTAATTAAAAAATCTTATGTTTTGTAATGTTTACTATTAATCTGCAAAATTTAGTGAAAATACACATTTATTATCAGTTATAGTATGACTAATCCCATGGTTACTGTAGTCAAAGAGTTAATGCTATCTGAAGTTGATTCATACTTTGATCATTATGTTTGTGTGTGTTGATAATAAATTTAAATGACTGGGATTTTATGGTACTATTATCTGGATTATACATAAAAAGATATGTAATGTATGGATAATTATAAAAACTTCAAGTGATGCTTGAATTACCTCATTTTAATTTCAGGTAACAGAAATCAAGCTTAAGTATTTTGACACTGTTCCTGTAGCAACTGCAATGTGTGTTCTGAAGACAGGATTTCTATTTGTGGCTTCTGAGTTTGGAAATCAGTAAGTACCAACTATCATTGCAGGAAGCAAAGGTGTTGAATTTCATCAAATTAATCTAGCTTGAATACACTGCAACCATTTTAGTGTGAATATCAGTTGTGTGAATGTCATTGTTTAATTAAACAACAATTTCAACATAACATTATAGTAAGGGACCTTTTGGTCTGTTCAGATTTTCCTAGCCACTAAATTAAAATAAATCATTAAAGAAAAAGAACAAAAAACTCAAAATTCAGCCCTTATCATTGAAATATTTATTAAGTTTTTCCTTAAACTCCTTTAAATTAACTGCATCCACCACTTCCAAAGGTAATGCATTCTAGAGGACAACCACCCTGTTAGAAAAATATAGTTTAGCTGAAGATAACTTCTTTCCTTTCAAAGTTTATATTTCTCTCCCTTAGTCTTACCACCATTAAATATGAAAAGTGATGATGCATCTACTTATTAATTTTTCTAACAACATTAAACACCTCAAACAGATCCCACGTAACTTCTCTTTTTTCAAGAGAAAACAAATTCAGAAATCTTAAAATATTCTTGTATAATAGCCTTTCCATCACAGGCATCATCCTAGTGGCCCTTCTCTGAACTCTTTTACATTTCAATGTCTTTTCTGAGAGAAGGATACCAAGACTCGAAACAATAGTTCAAATGTGGCTAAATGGTCTAACCATTGACTTATACAATTATATTATAACCTCTTTAAGCTTATATTCAATATTACTGTAGATACAACCTAAAATTCTATTTGCCCTGCCACTAACAACAGCTTGAATAGCTTAAAAGACTGATCAACCTGAACATCAAAATCATTTTCGTCTACTGTTATTTTCCTCAAAAGTATACTCATAATGCAAATAGTGATATTCTACATGCAAACCTGACATTAAAAGCCATGTCATTTATTTGCCTGACTTGCTAAATCCAAATCCTTTTGTAAAATAACAGTATCTTCCTCACAGCTAGCAACATCCAAAAGTTTAATGTCATCAGCAAATTTATATTAGTATTGACCATTCCTTCATTTATGTCATTCAAAAGGAGTAAAGGTCCTGAAACTGAGCCCTGAGGTACTCTACTTGTAATGTTAATCCAGTTTGATTCTCCATTTATTATCAACCCTCTGTTTTCTTTTACCTAGATAGTTTTTTATCCAATGAGCGAAACTATCCCCAACACCTATAAATATAACTTTTTAACTAGCTTTTATGTGGCATCTTGTCAAATGCTTTTAGAAAATCCAGATGTATCACATTAACACCTGTATGCTCATCTAGCCAATCAGTAACCTTTTCAAAGAATGTGAGAAGAATAGTTATGCAAGAATTTCCTCTAAGGAACCATGATGACTATCCACCAAAATTAAAGATAAAGTGAACTTTGATAGGGCTTCTGTGTGGATTGCATGGTTATGTGATTAATGTATGAATAATAGTATTTTATCAATCTGTTTCATTGTCAGTGGATAGTTCAGGCTTACAATACTTCTGTGGGAGAGAATACACTGCTTTTTAATTGATTGAAAATAAAACATTTATAGAATTTTTGTAATACATAAGTTATGGATAGATGAATATATTTCAAGAATGAACAAGTATTCCATTAACCCATCTGGTGTAATGCATAGGTATGTTGTGTTTTGTAGGCTTATAGTTAGGGAGATTTTGAAGTTTGCTTTGCCTGTTTTACTAACAGCAATTTTCAGAAACTATATTTTCCAAAATATATATATATTTTGAGAATTATTCATTTTCTATTTGTTTTTTGTTTGTTTTTTCAGATATTTTAGCTTTGGATGGGCCTTGAAGTAATTTTTTTGCAGTTATCTGAAACTGGCTTGTCTTAATAGTTCTATTTCACAATTTTTCTTGACTGGTTGTTTCATTCTACTCTGCATACTTACCTACTATACTATAATAATTTTGTGTATATTGGATTCATCTACATCTGCTCTTACTTTCAATATATTTTTTTATACCACTGCCTACCTAAAGTTCTTTAAACTGCTATCAAAAAGCTTTTACTAAAATTTTAATGATTTTCAGCTATTTGTAACAGGTTTTACATGTGCATTTAGTTTAAATGTTAATATTGATATTTCTGGGTTTCTACAAAGGTACATGAAAATAGTTTATAACATTTTGAAGATCATAATTTGTATTTTTATGGTTTATATAACATATCTGAAATAAACTCTTATGTATTTAAAAATAGTGATAATCATATCAGCTGCCAAAACTCCAATCATAAGAACTTAAGAAACAAAAATAAGTTGGCCAGTTGACTGATGCAGGCCACCCATTCATCTCCTCAAAAAATACATCTGAGTGATAGTGTAACTTGCTTGACGGGGACATGAAAGAAACAATACAAATAGAACAAATCATCCTGTATTAAACTACTTCACTGTTAAGTCACAGGAAGTTTAAAATAAGATAAGGTTGCCAAATTCCCAGGAATTTTCAGTGTCCCTTGGGAATTTTGGGAACATTCACAAATTAACTGTTGACTAGTGGTTAATAAGAATGATTTACAAATCTTATCTGAGGCTGAAATTGCCATATTATTTTGTAAAATATATTTTTGAAATAAATCAGTTTTTTTCTTATTTAATACAATATTTAAACAGTAGAAGAAATACAATACTGAAAAACATATGGTTGTGTTGATGCTATAGTTACATGAAAAAATAGAAAACTATACAAATATTATTAACCATAATTACCCTGAAGTACAAAGAATGTAAAAATATAAATGAAAATTATCATTTACACTGGATATTTAAATATAAAATTAATAACAAAAATGATTAAAAGAATTGTAGTTTCCAGCAAA